TAGCAAAACGAGGGCAGAGATGTACTTACAAAAACAATAACAGGTAAGTCAAACAACCCTTTTTAAAATAGCTGTTTCTTTCAAGCTAAGGGCCTTTTTACATAAATGTAGGGTGACCTTGGTGTTGGGTTCTTTTTACCTTTTCGGAAGACACCAGAAACAAAAGAGTTTGCCCTAGCAGTAGGGTCATCCTACCTTTAGTTTGAAGTGATTATGATTGTTTCAGTTGAATGTCGTTCCCTGGTGCATACTCACCGCATTGTCCTCTCTTGACGGAACGAATGTTGGTGTTACTTTCACAAGCCGCTTTCCTCATGTCGCATTGGCTGTTATACGTCTTACCATCGCTAGCACAAAACGGTTGCCCGGACCTTGGACAAGGAACTTTGGAACACGCGCACACAGCTTTGCCATTCTGGTTTTCGCATGTCGAATAAGGCTTACTGCATTTGAAGCCAGCACATGGATCTGCAACAAAATCAAGAGAAGTGAAAAAGTGTGACAATAAAAAAATTAATAAAAGGAATAAATAAAATAGATAAAAATATTAATTAGTAAAGGAAATCGCACGATCTCGAGTACAATTCGTAATTTATAGGTGCGAGTGATGTTTTAAAAGCCGTTTCAAAATTGGACGAGCTTTTATTTGAGAACTTGCAAAACATCACGAATGTCTATAAATTCCGAATTGTACGAGAAAATCTTTTTGTTTATTACACACCCAACAAAATTGAGTGGGACTCTACAGTGCACACTTTGTATAGGAAATCGCACGATCTCGAGTACAATTTGGAAATTAATAGTCACGAGTAATGTTTTGAAAGTTCTTGTAATTGCACGAGCCTTTGTACAATTAAAGAACTTTCAAAACATTACGAGTGTCTATTAATTCCAAATTGTACGAGAAGATCGTGCGATTTTTTGTTTATAGTTCACTCAACAAAATTTCAGTAAAAAATGCGAAGCGACGCCGTTCATCTTTGTCTATTTGGCGGCTGATTTCCAGTCCATCGTGCAACTGAAATGCGTAAAAAAGATTAGTTTTTACGGCTTTAAAATTTTATTTATGCTTTTTAAGTACAAAATGATAGAAAATAATTGTTTTGACATTGTTTTGGCCGTGTTGCCATAGCGACTTAATTCAGTACTCCTACGGAGTACAATTAACGCTATAATTGTACTCCTCTCGACCAATCAGAGTCGAGTAATTTTGTTGAGTGTACTATAAGAGAATTAATTGTACTCCTCTTGTCCAATCCGAATCGAGTAATTTTGTCACGTGTATTATAAAAGTTAGAAATGGATGGATAGATGGATGAAATAAAAGATGCAAAGAACGGCTGAATGCACATGTTAGATAACAAGAGAAAAGAAAGCTGTAAGAAATAATTTCATTCAACAGGGGGATAGTCAATCTCGCACCAAGAGGCTGACCGGTTTTTGATTCGTGACCAAAAGCGAGGAAGAGACTGGCCAATTTCTGTTGTGAAGACTGATCAAGTCTGATCACTTTTCATGTTTCCTGCAATCCCTTCAAAAGCGACACAAAGTTTTCTGGTGTTTGGGTTGCCTTGGATCACATTCACAAGCGTCTGAGTTAGTAAACGTTTGATCCATGGAAGCCAAAAACCCAGACAGCTTGTAACTGGGAAGCCGCAGAAACAGGAAAAGGGATCAAACAATTATTGACCGAATGAATGCATATCTGACGTACCACAGGGTCCAGGGGATTTTACGGTGATGTTCTTGTTATTCTGGCATGCTGCACGCTTCATTTCACAATCGTTAGTGTACGTCTTTCCATCAGAGCCACAAACTTGTTTTGGTGTACTAGGACATGATTCAGCGCAAACGCACGTTGCTTTGCCGTTGACTTCTTTACAGGTTGAATAAGGTCTTGTGTTAGCACAATTATTGTTGTAGCAAGCTTCTGTAAAGTGTCATAATAACTTGAAGTTAATACTTTAATTTGCCTGCGATCGTGTGGACTGACTTATCCAAATTTAAGGAACTTGTGACCATGCCCATTTTGCTTCCAAAATGGAACATTACTTACCACCTTAAAATCTTTTGAATTTGAATTTCGATAAATTTTGATATGTTTTTCTTTTCATTATTGTTTTTTCCTCGTCAATTTTAATGTTAATCATGTTTGTACTGTATGTAAATTGTATGGAGAGGGAATATCAATTGGGACGAAAGTTCTGTTTTCTTCGCCAGTCAAAATTTGTATGGCTCAAGTTTTATAAAATGTATATGTTTATATTGTGACAAATAAACTAAACTAAACTAATCTAACTGGTAAAGAAGCTTGGTCCATCAGAAATCGAAGATAAAGGAAGAAAATCATATCAATTTTAACCGATATCATAGATCATTAATTGCCAAAAATGCCCCACAGAGGAATCCACTGACCGTGCTCCGGRTTTTATTGGGAAATATGAAAATAGTCCCTTCTTCATGTGTGTCAGTTCGAGTTAGAATAAAATGATAAAAGGCCATGCCGTCAACTCCACCCTTTATAATTATTTTTCTTACCTCTACCAAAGATGATGACTTGAACCACCTCACGATAGCCGGTGGCAAATGTTTGATAGTTGGAGTAGGTGAACATGTAGCCAGACTGAGAAGCAACCTCTTGTAGCTGGGGTACAGCAAATGTGGAGCCTATACCTATCACATACATGTCAAAGTTTCTTCTCTTAAGGTTAGCAGCACTGGTACGCCAGGATTGGGCGAATCTGTTAGGCCACTGTCCGGTAGTGATGACAATGATAACCTGTAGGAAGAAATAGAGCCAGTAATAATAGTGAGAGGTTCGAATTGACGTGACAATTAGGGAAATAAAGACAAGTATAGGGGTTACCGAGGACAAGGTCAAGACAAGCAGTAACGTAACATGCATAACGCTCTTTATGTAAATTTATAAGCATATACAGTTTAATAATAAATAAATATACGAGAATATAATTTACGTTCATCTTGTTACGGCCTTTCTGGTTCATATAGCTATCTGTAAACACTACAAGTACTATAGGTACCTCTACATTATATGTTGTATTCAAAAGTTCGCCATAGCACGCATTTAATTTAAAAAATATTGTAGTTGTCTAAGATCTACGGATTTCCTTTCCCATTCACTGAAGTCGATCTATTGTTTAGCATTGCTTACTCGCAGCATTTAATTTGCATAAAACTTAGTTAAGTTATTATAATGGGAGAGATAGTACGATACGCGAAGTGGTATGATATGAGGTAAACAGCAAGGGAAACCGGAATACCACCACCACCAGTGCTCTAGTGCGTCTTGCATTGTCTATTGTAAATCAAATTACCTGTCTTGCCGTTTGCCGAGCTCCATATTGTGCCGTGAACAATTGTCTCTCTGCCATTTCAAGCCCACTATTGACATATCTGAATGTTCCTTGTTTGTGGGTTATTCCATCGATAAGCCTATTGACGCCTTTAGGTGTGTATCCAGAGCCGCTCAGTGCATTGAAGCCAAAGTCGATATTAGCCTTACTGCTGTAGGTGATGTAAGCAAAATGAGTGCCGGTCTGTGAGACATCGAATGAATTCACGATGGACTGAGAGTACTTCTGCATTTGTTGCCAGTTGACAGAGTTTGATGAATCAATGACGAAGGCAATGTCAAGGTATGCACCCCGCCCTTTTAAAAATATAAAGAAAATCAATCAATGACAAATAATTCTCATCACAATAAACTGACCATCCCCGGTACCTACACCTCATTACTAACCACCCCTCATGACCTTAAACTTACCATCCCCGGTACCTACACCTCATTACTAACCACCCCTCANACCCCTCATGACCTTAAACTTACCATCCCCGGTACCTACACCTCATTACTAACCACCCCTCATGACCTTAAACTTACCATCCCCGGTACCTACACTTCATTACTAACCACCCATCATGACCGTAAACTGACCATCCCCGGTACCTACACCTCATTACTAACCACCCCTCTAGACCTTAAACTGACCATCCCCGGTACCTACACTTCATTACTAACCACCCATCATGACCGTAAACTGACCATCCCCGGTACCTACACCTCATTACTAACCACCAAAGAATACTGCACATTTTACCTTGTGCGACTGCTTTTCCTTGAGGCTCAGAGATCTGAGGTAACTGAGCATAGTTGTATCGATAGTAAACGTAGTCTGCATGGGAGGCAGTCCATAATACTTGTGGTTGTAAGAATCTGCGTCCCACACCCACGGTATACACTCTTACGCCGTTCTTTTGTAATTGTGCTGAAGCATCACTTGGTTTGGGATACCTGCCGGCAGCTTGGGGTCCAGCAAAGAGTATTACAAATACCTACGGAAGAATTTAAACGATGGCCCTTAATCCATTTCGTAAAATACCTCTGTGATTCATAATTATAGACTCTTTCGCTCAGTGTTTGCATCTGGGTTGGAAACTGCGTGCAGAGAGCCCCTTAAGATCCTATCAGCAGATATCTCCTATAAGGACCCATGCACTCACACGGTAAAAGAAACAGTGGAGGAAGACTACTCCTTTACCATCAAACAATCGCGAAGATAATCGACCATTATGATGTGCCACCAAGTCCGGGGGAAATAAGGGTTGCAGCATTGGATAGGATGGTATGCAGGAGAAAAGATGTTGTCGCCTGCTAATCGCGAACCGCCTAGGGTTTACGAGCAGACGCGAAGAAAAGAGAGCCTCATTCAGCATCAAAATATCCACAAATACCAACGGTAAAGTCAAGAATGCACGACTTTTATTTAACGAAACAAACAATAAAATTTCATGGACCTTGACTGGGATGCTGGATATTCTACCCAAAAAACGAGGCTAACGCTGAGCAACAGAGTAGTCAAAACTTGAGTGTTAGGTAAATAGGTAGAGTGGCAAGAGACTGGGGGAGGAAGGGAGAATGCTATGGCCATTAAGAAATAAAAAACAAGCCAAACTGAAGCGAACTAGAGAAATGAGGAAGACAGCAAACTGATAGGCAAGTAGGCTGACTGAATTTTTGAATTAATTTTTTGAATTAAAAGTTCATCTAATACCAGTGATTTAAATGAAAAAAAACTTACCCTTCTTGAATTTAGTCTGGCGCCACCAGCCAAAGAGAACAAGTCTGTTCGGGCCAATTGTATCGCACTATCAATTCTACGAGCATTTCCGGTCTGTCTGGGCATTCTGCTAACAAGCTGTTGGTATCCAGCGGCACTAATCTGGTTATCAGGGACACTCTTGAAGGTAAAGTACACTTTGGGTTGATTGGCATAGCTGATTAAAGCAAACCGAGTATCTTCAAATGCAGGAGAGATGTTAGAGAAGCTTCCAATGAACTCGCGTATGTAGGTCAATATGTAATTCCAGTTTTGGGCGGTGATGTCTTGGGAAGAGTCGACGGCGATACCAATATCAAGTGGTCTCACAGGTGCTGCAAGGAATATAAAGATGCACGAGTTGATAAAGCTTTCAATGACTATTTTCACTAAGAAAAACCATGGTGTATGGAAGGATAAACCACAACTAGGGGATATATTCACCTCCGAATACGATGACCTGTACAAGTCGTTTGTACATTCCATTTAGTGTGGTGTAGGAATCTGGGGTGAATACATATCCAGGTTCAGAGGCAACATCCTCCAGTTGAGAAGAGCTAATGCCTTGACCAACGCCCAATGAGTATAATTCGAATTTCTGTGTGCGCATTTGTGATACGGTTTGTTTCCAGCTTGCTTCGTATTGGTTTTGCCATTGACCAGTTGTAAGGATGACAAGTACCTAACAAGAAATTCAATGAAATTAAATTAAATAAAGTAAAGTAAAGTACTATATTTAACTTCGGTAGTTCCTTCAGTTGAAATTCAACTGCTATCAATGGAAGCCGACGGTGCGCGCTTTCCCCCTCTCTCCATCAGTGCTCTGTTTTAAGAGTATTTAAAGCTGAAGCTACACGGATTAGAGAGAAGTCGAAACAGGCGTGGAGCGTGGACCTCAAGCTCTGGAGGTCGCGCACTAATCAACCGAGCTACGCCTGCTCCATCGAAGGAGCAGGAGACTTCATCATCATAACAACTATGGGCACCATTAATAATCATAGTATTTTTTACGTCATTGCTACGATTGTCGTCCTTATTTCTATCATCATTATCAACATCATATACATTACCCTCATCATCATTATCGTCATAATATTCAATGGAATCATCATTAGCATGTCCGTTACAATTCCCATCATTTTCTTCATCTTCGTCATCATCATCATTAACACCAATACAATTATCTTCATTATCATCATCGATTGATGTTTTTATTGTATTTATAATCATTATCACCGGTACGTAATCAATTCTTCTCTTTAGTTACCAGGTTTTTCAACGTAACTAACCTTTCTAGCATCGACTCTACTGCCACCTGCAACAGTAAACATGTTTTGGAGTGCGGCCTGAAGAGCCAAATCGATTCTTCTTCCACTGCCTCCTAGCTGATTAACTCCATCAACTAGATTATTAACACCATTCACAGTGTACGAAGCACCGCTGAGCGCATCAAACTTAAAGGCAACTGATGCTGTGTCACCAAAAGCGATAAATCCTACATGGGTGCCGCGTTGAGAGATGTCAAAGGAGCCAACAATATATTTGACAAAAGCTAGCATTTGCTGCCAGTTCACTGTGCTCGACGAGTCAACGATGAAGCCCAAGTCCAGATATGCACCATGACCTGTTGGTAAGGTAAAAAATGATGGCTGTTAAAACTTTAAGTGATTTCTCCTTAGGCATGGTAACCCTGTGGTATTGCAAAAGTCCAATAAATGGCTTTTTTGTGTGTAACTGTCTATGGCACTAAAGATAGAATGATACCTCGATTGAGATGTTTAGCCATTGGTGCTGCTCGGTCAGCAAGTCTGTTCCATTTGTATCTATAATATACGTAGTCAGCATGGGAAGCCGTCCACAGAACCTCAGGCTGTAGGAACATACGTCCTACACCTACAGTATAGATGATGACTCCATTCTTTCGTAATGCTGTGTAGGCAGGCTGTAGTGCTGCCGCTTGTGCTTGGTCTTGAGGTCCAGCGAAAATAATTATCAGAATCTAATAAATGGAATAAAGCATAGAATAAAGTAAATGTGAAAACTAACATACAAGTAACAGGCATTAGACACGGCTGAATCAAATAATATTGATGCTTTTCAGTGGCAATCAGTTGAAAGTGGTTTCTGAAAATCCATGCCATTTTATAACAAGTGGTTGTTAATGCGCATGCTCAGACTAGTTAAAGAAATTGGGAGGAGATTGACATGTAGTTCCTTGGACCACAAAAGCCCTCATAATTAAAAAACAAGCAAACAAAAAGCTAAAAAAAACCCAAGAACAACAAAAAACACACCGATACACACAAAAACGAGACAAAAAAGGCAATACAACGAAAAACACACACCTTTCGTGCTTTCGGTCGTGTTCCACCCTTTGCACTGAACAACTCAGTTCCAACGCTCTGTAAAGCAATGTCAATTCTTCTAGGCGTTCCTGGTTGTCTAGGTGCTTTAGCTGCCAGTGCCGTTACTTTCTGTGCGTTAAGATTGTTGCCCTGAAGGGTATTGAATCTGAAGACCACGTTAGGTTGAGCAGAGTAGCTTATCATTCCAAATCTTGTTCCTCCTGCGTCAGATGAAATGTTGCCCACAGCATTGATCAAGTCTCTCACGTAGGTAGTTATGAAGCCCCAGTTTTGAGCTGAAATGTCGGGAGATGAATCGACAGCAAGAGCGATATCAAGAGGTGTTATCTTGGCTGAAAACGAAAGGTAAAACAAAGAATCAGTAACGCCACAAGCTTTGAATCTGTCCTTTTTTCTCTGTACTATCGCAGTCTTAATCATTATAAATGGCATTCAATCGTTTCCAAGAGTTTTATTCCCAAATTTCTTCCACCTCGCCGCCGAGTTTAATGAATCAAACAACTGAAACTATAATATGTTATCTTGATTCCGATTTACCCCACATTAGATCCTACCTCCGTATATGATGGTCCTGATGAGGTTAGCTTCGAGGTCGGGCAACTTTTCGTAGTTGGCAGTGGTAAAGACGTAGCTTGGTTTGGTAGCCACACCTTCTAGTTGTGGAATCTTGACAGAGTTACCAATACCAAACACAAACACATCGATACCAGCCGACTTGAACTGTTGGATAGCAGTCTTCCATTCTGTCGCCCAAGCACCAGTCGTGAAGATAACCAAAATCTTTAAAGGAAAAAAGAAATATTGATCAGAAGTTCAAGTATTAGTTATTAGTTTAGGATATACAGTCAATGTCATTAACGTTGTCCACCAAAAAAGACAGTTAAGACATTTAGACTAAAGAAATATCACGTGTTTCATTATGTATTCTTTGCCTCGTGTGCGTCAGCCTGAACGTTAAATGTAAAATTCAACTCGTGAATCGAAAATCCAGAACGCCCCGACCATTTGGTGAGGATTTAAGATGGAGAATGGTATTTCAGCGTTTGTTTTATGCCAGAACGTTCGAGGAAACACGTGATATTTCTTTTAGTCTAAATGTCTAAATGTGTAAATGTGTAAATGCCTTTTTTCGGTGGACAACGTTAATGACATTGACTGTATGTACGTAGGAATCGATTGCCGATACTGTCCAGGTAAACAACAAACGAAGAAACAAACAAACAATCAAATGAACAGACAAAGAAAGAAACAAATACCGTTTTATTTTGAAAAACAAAAAAGTAAGGGCACAAACAAGTAAACAAACAAAAGAAGGAGCGTACAAAGCAGCAAACTAACTGATGAAGAAAGAGCGAACAAAAGAATGAGCAAGCGAACAAATGAAATATCGAGCGCGCGCGCGCGCGGACGAATTACTTACCCGTCTACTTCCGGCGCGTACGCCAAATTTCTTGCTAAACAAATCGCGGAAGGCAATACCGAGAGCTTGACCAAGTCTTCGTCCTGTTCCTCCTAAGTGTTTCGTGTTGGCGATCAATTTACTGACACCTTCAAATGTATTTTCTTTACCCTGTAGTGCATTCAATGGGAAGGCAATACTGGCAGCATCACTATATGTGATGTAACCGATATGCGTGCCAACTTGAGAGATGTCAAATCGTTTGGCAATAGATTGAGTAAAGCTTTGCATTGCTTTCCAGTTGACATTCTTTGATCCATCGACGACGAAGCCAATGTCCATGAACGCTCCTCTACCTGCAATATAATCGCATCAGTGTTTTTTTTTTTGGGCGAAAAATTCAAGGCTCGGTAAAGCATTTGAGGATTATTTTTCGAACTTCTTGGAATTTTGAGCACAAATGTTTATGTCCCTAGCGAAAGCTGCTTAGAATTCCAGTGTCTTTCAAGACAATTACATAAACAAGACTTTTAGTAGGAAATTAAACAAATATTTACCTTTGACAACATCTTTGCTGAGTTTTGGAGCAATTTTGGCTGTAAGTTGCGGATATTTATTATAATACACGAAGTCTGCAAAGGACGCCACATCGATGGTCTCTTGTTGGTCATAGCGAGCTCCCGCACCCACAGTATAAATTCTGAAGCCTCTCTTCTGCATGTTAAGGACTGTGGTTTTAAGGGCTTTCTTCTGACCGAATAGCTGCTGTCCAGCCATGATTACAATTAAGATCTTTTGAAAATAAACAAAAATGTCACTAAATTAATCAAATAATTTATTTATATTGTCGATCAAATCAGCAAAGAATTAGGAACAAAGGGTCCAATACTGGGAAAAGACTTAAAAGTGACTGGCATACCTTTTGGGCGTTAGTCCTGTGTCCTCCAGCAGTACTGAATAACTCTTGGTCAGCACTTTGTAATGCACGATCGAACCTTCTTACTGCTCCAGCTTGTCGTGGAGTATTGCGAACACGTTTCTTGACTTCTCCAATGTTGAGCCTAGATCCTGCCAAGGTGTTGAATTTAAAGAATACTTGTGGCGAAGTGGAAAAGCTGATCAAACCAAACCGAGTTCCGCTTGGAGCAGGCGATACATTATCAATACCATCGACCATTGCCAACAAAAAGTTAAGGATGTGGTTCCAGTTGGCTCCTGAGATGTCACTCGACGAATCAACGACAAATCCTACGTCCAATGGTTTTGTTTCTTCTTTGCGCGCTGAAGGAAAACAAAATGCTACTATATAATGTATGATATTATTAAGTTATATCTGGTAAAAATAAGAACGTACCTCCATAGACAATAGTTCTGATAACAGGCTCACGTTCACTTCGAAGGGCAGCATAGGAAGCAGGGGTGAAGACAAATCCAAGCTTAGATGCAACGATTGCAAGTTGTGGCCTTTCCACGGATGCTCCCACACCAATTGGATAAATCTCAATTTTACGCTGCCGTAACGCGTTTGCTGCTGCCTGCCAGGCTGCTTGCGAGGCTGAGGACCATCTTCCAGCTGTGATTACGAGGATTACCTTAGAACAGAGAGAAATATATTAGAAATAAATATTATTAACCCATCCATGAGGTTGGTACAAAACGTATAACCACTGTTATCATCATGTAATTAGTTTACATTTCAGTTGGGAGTGAGTTTAAAGAATTATTGCTCCATAAGAGAGCAACTCTGAATGACAATGGCCATGTCTTGAGAAATGTTAACCTTTCCCCTACAAGCAATAAAATTGCGGCAATTTAACAAATTTCAGATGGTTTTGCATGTTATGTCCTCTTATTTACCATGATATGAAATCAACAGTCGGACAAAATGTCAGCCTGTAGTCTAACAAAGATACCCGAGCATCTATAAAGCCGAAAAATAGATATAATCAATTATCTAACCTGTCTAGCTGTTGGTCTCTGTCCTCTTCTTTGTATAAACAGGTCTGCAGCAGCCATATTCAGCGCTATGTCGATTCTTCTTTGGTTTCCTCGTTGCGGTGCTACTCCATTGATCTGGCTAACGATCAAGTCTGCTGTTGGTGCAGGGTTCGTAGCAAAGTCAAATGCAAGATTCGCAGTGCTGGCAAAGCTAATAAATCCTACATGTGTCCCGTGAACTGAGATTTCGAAGGATCTAACGATTGATTTGACAAACGAAAGCATTGCATTCCAGTTGACAGCGTCTGAAGAGTCGACCAACAATCCTAGATCCAAATAACGGCCATGTCCTGATAGTATGAACAAACAATAAGGCATCAGTATCAAAACAGAAAGAAGGCTAGATATTGAGAAAAAGATAAAGATAGGTAAAGGAAATAGGTAAAGGAAAGAGCGAATCTAGAAAGAAAGAAAAGGAAAACAAAAAAGTAAAGGGGCGAGGTAGAAAACGACAACAGCCCAAAAACCGCCAACAGAGCGTTTGTGCTGCTGTAAATACCTCTGCAAATGGATAGACCTTGACGTGCGTCAAATGGACACGTTAATGGTGGTCCCGTCCCTAAACAACTATAGACGGCCTACATGAAAACCAGTTTATTTCCCTAGCTATATGTTTATATTTTTAAACTGATTGTAGCTCGGTGTATAAACATGTCAAATAAACTTTACTTTAGACGTTAAAAGAGGACCACTATACTTTATCAGTTGAATTACTGTCATCCTCTATAACTCATTCGACAGTCCCTAGCTCCCCCTCCCCCTCCCCATTCCAAATTTCATTTTCTTTCACACCTAAAACCGTACCTTTTGGCAAAGCTGCTGCTATGGGCGCAGACAGCTTAGGCAGTTGATCGTATTTATAGTTGAAGTAGACAAAATCTCCCCTTGCTGCTGTTCTTAAGACATCCAACTGGTTGAAGGAAGGTCCAGCACCAATACCGTAYACATAGATCTTTTTATCGTATAATCGTTTGGCAGCATCGCGTAGGTATGAGGCTGGGACGTTGGTAGTTTGGGCACCAGCCAGTAGTAGAACCAAGTACTTTAAAAAAAGGTTAAATAATTTTAAAAATAAAACAATGCACCTGTTAGGGAAGGAACTCATGGGAGGACCGTATGATTGAATTGCACAGCAACGAATGTGCTTGCAGTAGAAAATATCTATTTTGTTAATTATTTCTTATAGTACTTAGGGCTTTTATGTCATAATTATTTATATTTTAATTAGAATATAATCGAGGAAAAAAAAAAAAAAAAAAAANAAAAAAAAAAAAAAAAAAAACCACGGAAATATAAATCATAAATTCAATAAAGTTAAATTCATGGATGTTTTTGTGTATGGCACAGACATCATTCCTGACCAAAGCATCGCAATGATATATTTAAGCTGCACGTCATATCTACTAAATAATAATCGCAGAAAACCCGAAGAGGCGTTTCCTTACCCTCAGAGATGATGGTCGGGCACCCGCTGCTGTGGTGAAGACCTCGTTATTCGCTAGGTCCAAAACTCTTTCTATTTGTCTAATCGTTCCTGGCTGTCTTGGCATTCGGTCAATAGCACCCATGACATTTTGCTGGTTGAGTTGTTCTCCTTGGAAGGCATTGAATGCTTTGTATGTAGCAGCATTGCTTGAGTATGTTATATAAGCAATGCGAGTGCCCGTACGCTCTGGAGAAATGGTATTGATTCCTTGGATAATGCCCTTCACGAAGGACAGCATTAATCGCCAGTTGGGTTCGGTAATGTCGGATGACGAATCGACAGCAAAAGCAATGTCTAATGGTCTGATTTGTTCTACAACGAAACGATCGATATAAATTTTAGCATTGTTTTGTATTGAATCTGATCGGTGGGCTTCTTAAAAAGTTCAAAGTTCTGATAATGATGACTTCCACTGGTAATAAGGATGATTTTGATATATGACCATGATATATGACCACGATATATGACCATGATATATGACCATGATATATGACCACGATATATGACCATGATATCCATGATATATGACCATGATATATGACCAGGATATAAAACAAGGAAGCAGATTTGCAAGGAAGCTAATTTCTTTTGATCAAAAACAGAAAGAAAAAATAGCATTTAACGGTGCAACGATTTGAAATATCCTATACCCTTGTGATATTTAGTAGATACTTACTTCTCCAGTACACCATCCGCCATACGACTCTCCTCCATATATTTCCRAGGCCTGCCGATGTATCAACCATGAAGTTGTTTTCTATATTTTGCGTTGCTTTGTTTAGTTGGAATTCTCTTGCCTGTGGTCTGACACCAATGCCATAGATCGATGCAATTTTCCTAAGATTAGCAGCTGCTGCGTACCAGACAGGGGCTTGAGCTGTCCTGGAACTTGGCCAGGCACCATGTGTTATAATAATGACTTCCTGATGATGAAGAGTATGTCTGTTAGTTGGATCTGCTTTTGTGACACTCTTACCATATGAGAGTACTCTTCTTAATTTGATTCATTTCTTGAGGCCATTYTATGCATGGCTCTTTTTCTTATACCTTACAAGGTACACTCTAGTCTGGCATCGGTAGAAATATGTATTGTTCATCATTCTTTATAAGTTGTTGTTTGAATTTAAGCTAGACTAGCTTGTTTGTAGCAGGTTCATTGCAATTTATTTACATTTACAACAATTTTTTTCTATTTCATAAAAAAATCTTATCAAAAGAATGCCAAGCTTTAGGGACGGACAACTTATAAAGATAAAAGAGCTTGATGGATTTGCAATACCTTTCTTGAGTTTGTTCGTGCACCATACAAACGGTTAGTGAACAGTTGGACAGCATCACCCAAGGCCTGGTTGATGTTTCTTCCTTGTCCTGTGCTGCGACTCGCCACGTCAACCAATCTATTCACCATTTCCTTATCATATCGGGCACCCGGTTTAAGTTCAATCGGGAATGTAAAGGCAGTTTGACTTCGGTCACCGTAGGTTATCATCGCAATGTGGGTTCCCTGTGGTGAGATGTCAAAAGCTCCGACGATGGATTTCACAAACGATAGTATCTGGTCCCAAGGTGCTCCGTAAGAAGAATCAACAATAAAGGCGATATCTCGAACTTGTCCACGTCCTTGTAAGAAGAAAGAGAGAGRAAAAAAACCACTTCAATTTTGTCGTTTGCTAAAAGAATCTAAGTTGAGCTAATTTAGGCCATGGCATTGGGCTAAATCGCTGATCGCATTTAGCGAGTTGGGCTTGGCAGAGGATGGAAAGCGGGAGACTAATTRCAACAAATAGACATTTTCATCTTTGGTATAATATTTTCCCAGATTCTTCATTTAAGTGTTTTAATATGGGTATTCATGCAACCGTTTAACAATAAAATGATACTTTAGGAAATGACACGTTGCTTGAAATGGGTAAAAATTCGTCCAAGCCAAAAAGGTCTGTTAACGAAGAAACCTAACAACTTAAAAAACTTTGATAATTGGAAACATCATTTTTATAGACCTCTTTACCTTGGGCGTGATGTTTGCCGATTTCAGACCACGTGTCAAATGAGTATCGTTTCTTTGTTTAAGAGTTGCGCATGAGAAGAAAAACTGAAAGTGGATATAACGACCTTATTCTCACGTGGTGTGAAATGGGAAAACATAATGACAAAAGTAAATAGGTCTATGAGAGCCTCAAGGCAAGCAGCAACATGATTTAAGGTAACACTGTGTTTTTTTGAGATATAGAGATGAATTAAGGAGAAATAAAAATGCCTGATATAATTGGAATGAAGAATGAAACAACAAC